TAAATCCAACATGCACCAAATTTAGTACCATTTAGTACTTTTCGTACACATAAGTACGATTTAAAGCTACCTCAATCCTGTACTACAATAGTAGTCCCAATTCCAATATTCAGGCTTCCATCTCTATACACTCATTTAAACGCAAATAGTACTAAATTTAGTACCATTTTGTACTTTTTATATAAATATGTACTAATTTCATAAACCATTCCCATACATCAAGACCACTTCCCAACCTGTATTCCATGTAAAATTTCAAGATTCTAGCTATATATGCTCAATATATATACAATTAGAACTAATTTTAGTAAAATTTAGTACTTTTGGTACACTTATAGGTCGAATTTTCAAAAACCCTTTTGCACATCCTTCTAACTTTCCATCAGTGACCCACATGCCAAATTTCTAGCTCTTCGCGTTCGCCTAATACAAAGGGTACCATATTTGGTACATTTTAGTACTTTTAGTACCATTCTAGTTCGAATTTCCAAAAACCCAGCCTTATCTCACGCCTACACACCAACAGCAACCCTCACTGAAAATGTCAAGCTTCTAGCCGTTTGGTCTGGGCGATGATCTGTCAGTCACTCACTCACTCACTTAACACTGAACTCTTTTATATATATATAGATATTAAATTTTACAAGAATCTAAAATAATTCTGAGGGTAGAATTTGTACAATTTGAATACGAAGCGATTTAAATAATTTGGACTGTATACACAAATTAGTACTGTACACAAATTTACCCTCTTCTCTATATTGAAAAGCTCATAACTTTACCAACATTTTGAATTTTTTTGATTTTTCTTTTGATATGTGTCGTCCATAATCAGGTCTTGACATATGAAATCCAAATAATACATATCTACTAGCTGCATATAAAATATAAGCTCTAAAACATTTTGTTGCCTGTGGGCAACATTGGGCCACAAAGGGTTAATATTAACTCACTAGAGGGCGGAAATGCCGCTCTGATCACTTTAAGACTTTTCATGAAGTTCCGGTTATGGTCAAGGACGACGCCAATAATTTTCGGTGATGTTGAAATGAGATGACAAACTTTATTTTTGTCAGATTTGCTAGATTTGCTCCAGAGGCCATTTTTATATGCAGAATATCGCATATTTTACAAGGTGAAGGGGATCTAACCAAATACTTTGAATGTCAAATCAACCAAAACCTAAAGGGACCAAATTATTATTTAATGGCTGAAATATTCGCCTTGGGAAAACAAGATTTTGAAAATATGCCAAGGTTAAAGGCTGTTTCACATAGAATTTTGGGCAACCGTTCTATAGTGGCTACCGTTGAAAACTGGCCGATATATATCATTTTAAATACCAAACATACCAGAAGTAACATTAATATAAGTTCAGAATTTCTATCTTCAATATTGCGAGATTTAGTTTTTTACGCCTTTCTGTATTAATAAACAGTAAGGAAAGTAGTAAAGTCGGACGGGGCCGACTATATGATACCCTTCACCACTATGGGTATATTAAACAGGACTATTAGCATGAAATTGGATGAAATAAAATATGTTTTATTTATCTAAATGTGAATCTACCTAGATCTATCCATAAAATATTTACATGAAATCGGACGAAACTGTATATGGGAGCTATATCTAAATCTGGACCGATTTTCTCGAAACTTGGCAGACATCATTCTAGACCTAAGTGATTAGGCTGTACCAAATTTCGTGCAAATCGAAAGATATATAGGGGCTTTGGGGCACCATTTACATGAAATCGGAAGAAACTATATATGGGAGATATATCTAAACCAGGACCGATTTTCATGAAACTTTTCAGACATCATTCTAGGATCAATTAAGTACGTTATGCCAAATTTCGTGCAAATCGAAGGATATATAGGGACTTTGGTGTACCATTTACATGAAATCGGACGAAACTATATATGGGAGCTATATCTAAATCTGGACCGATTGTCGCGAAAGTTGGCAGACATCATTCTAGGCTCAATTCAGTACGTTATGCCGAATTTCGTGCAAATCGAAGGATATATAGGGACTTTGGGGCACCATTTACATAAAATCGGATGAAACTATATATGGGAGCCATATCTAAATCTTGACCGATTTTCTCGAAACTTGGCACACATCATTCTAAAACTAAGTCATTACGCTGTGCCAAATTTCGTGGAAATCGAAATTTATATAGGGACTTTTGTACACTATTTACCTTAAATCGGACGAAGATATATATGTGAGCTACATCTAAATCTGAACCGATTTTCACGAAACTTGGCATACATCATTCTAGACCTTATTCATTACGCTGTGCCAAATTTCGTGCAAATCGAAAGATATATTGAGGCTTTGCTACACAATTTACCTTAAATCGGACGAAGATATATATGGGAGCTATATCTAAATCTGAACCGATTTTTATGAAATTTTACACACATCATTCTAATTCATCCTAATTCATTACGCGGCGCCAATTTTCGTGCAAATCGAAATATATATATGGACCGTTTACATTAAATCGGGCGAAAATATATATGGGAGCCAGCAACGTACACAGGATTTCATTTCGGGGGGGGGCCCGGTAGTACAAAATGGAAAAATTCGCTGTTGCTAACATAAGTTTACTGTGAAAAAAAATCAATTCGGGGGGGGCCCGGGCCCCCAGGGCCGCCCCCCTGCTTACGTCCCTGATGGGAGCTATATCTAGATCTGAACCGATTTTTCCCAATTTCAATAGGGTTCGTCCTTGGGCCAAACAAATGAGCTGTGCCAAATTTCATCCAATTCGGATCATAAATGCGACCTGTACTTTGTTTACAATTTAACATCTACAGACGGACGGACGGACGGACATGCATAAATCGACTCAGAAAGTGATTCTATGCATATTCTCAAAAGGAACCATGGGTCTATCTCGATTATTTTTGCCTGTTACAAACATATGCACAAAGACATAATACCCTGTACCACAGTGTGGTGAAGGGTATAAAAATATACTATTGTACTTATGTCCGTTTGAATTTCGTTAATTAGATCACAGTTTTTGACATGAAATGTCTAACTTTTTGTGTGAACAGTAGTTTGATTAACCGAACAATAATCCAACAAAAAGTCAATTTCGATGACGATATGAAATTAAAAAAATTAAAAAATTTGGGCACCGCAGAAGATAACCGAGTGGTCCTATCTTGGAACAACGTTTGAATCAAATCGGACATTCCAACAGCTAGTTATCAGCAAATGTTGTCATTTTATGGAGGTGATACTAGATGATGATTTGCACCGATTCAGCCTTGAAATAGGTCTGGTTAAAATACAACAATGTGTCGATTTCGAATCGCATTGAGCTTCATACGAGATTTGCAAGTTTTCCACATTTAGAATCTTTGTGATCGAGGTACTAGAAGGTATGAACCGATAAACCCTTTCTTCAAACTTTGTAAATACTTTGTTAAAATCGTAGGCTGTGCACTCGTTTTAAATCGAATACTCCTTTCGCAAAATGTTTGCCAGTACCAGAATGAGTGGATCCATATTTTCCACCTTTAAACTTAATCTCTGTTTGAAACAAACATTACGATTTGGAAAAATTTAGACAAAATACGTATTTCCATCTCTAGGAATAACATGGACTACAAATTCTCTGCGACAGATTTGGTTAAAAAATAGCGAGGTGTATACCCATAAATGAGGGAGGAACTATGCCAAAAACTGAATCTATTTTCGTAAGTTCATGTCACAATATATTTTATCTTCGGTAGTTCTAAGTAACATCGGATGTATGTGACCACCAAGCTACTTACTGAAGCAATTGAAACAATGCTATTGGTTATCTTCCTATAGAATATTTGTAGAATGCCATCTGTACACATAATACATGTATCATGTCATCTGTCTAAGATATATCAAAAAAGGTTGTCTACCTTTAGACTACCTGTAAAACGTCTCCTGTATATTGAAACCCGTAGAAAGTATTATATCTATAGAATATCTGTAGAAGTCATTTTGGAAGTCATTTGTAGTCGTCTGTGTAGAAATTGGGCTCTAAGCTATTTTTTCGCAATTAAATCTATTTCGTCGATATTTGTAATTCTAAGAACTAATGCCGGCGCATTCTGCCCAATAAGTATTTCCAAATTTTTCTTTAAATAGCACAACAACTAGATTTTAAATTATGTAGAAAAAACAACTTTTGTTTAAATCTTTTTCATTAAACATTAAAATATTTATTTCTCTTTCATTTTTTTCGCATTTTTTCACATTCTTTTTTCATACATTTTTTTTCGAAGTACAAATCAGTTTCCAAAAAAAAATAAATTAAACAATATTATTATAAAATAAAAATACTTAATACATTTAAATAATTAAATTACAAAAAAATACAAAAAACTATAATTTAATTAAAAAATAAAATTATTTAAAAAAGAAACTTTACAATTATTTTTTTTAAATCATTACTATTGCAAATCATTTATCTTGCTCATTTATTCTTTTCATCTACTTCATGATGTTATTTTGTTGAAATTTTATAATTCTACGATTAAAACTTGGATTAAAATTGGAAAAAATATGTACTTATTTATATATTTATATTTATATTTATATTTATATATACGCATTTATTTATGTGTTTCATTTTTGTGAGAACATTATTAAAAACTACCATATCATTAGTTTTGTTTTTGTGGGATTTTTTGGAGATTTTTTTCTTTTTTATTAAAAATACACCTTGCAAAATGTATTACAATACCATATATATTCGTCCTGCACTTGTTCACAGACATTCTATATTTAACTTGTATTCTTTTTTTATATAGATTTTTTGTATTTATATTTTTTTAATTAAAATCTTATAAGAATTTTAGTTTTTTTCTATTTCAATGATTGTTTTTTTTTGTGTTTTTGTATTAATGGTGTTTTGTTGTGTGGAAAATAAAGTTAGGTTTTCTTCATTTCCCCAAAATTAGAAATCATATTCTCCTTTGTCGATTTTTTATCCGCATTGTTGTTTTTTGCCAAACAATTGGACATTTAGTAGTGAGAATTGCGGTTGTTGTTGCTGCCACTGACAACCTTGAAGTATTGCCTATCGGCACGACGAGAAGTATGATTTTTAGATTGAACATCACGCACTTTATTGGCGCGTTTAATGGCCGAACGACAAATTTCCTTACGCTCCTTTTTGGATTGGGTCTGAAAAAAAAAATGGAAAAGAAAATGTTATAAAAAAATATTTACATTTCGAAAATCTGTGGAGGGCCTTTGGTCAATAGATGTCCTTTTCCCATTGATATCGTATAAAAAGTTATCTGTCTACAGAGGGCTTGAATATCTTTATCTTGGCAATGAGGGTGAATATCTTCTGTCTATAGAAAATATGTGGAAGGTCTTCTGAAACCTTCTGTCTATAAAAGAACTGCAAAAAAATATTCTATCTATAGAAACCCTGTAAGATATCTTCAGGTCTGCTTTTAGAAGGCCTCATGATGACCACCTACCTTTAAAGGATGTTTTCTGTCTATCGGAGGACTGCTGATGTTATTCTTTCTATAGAAAACCTGTAGAAGGTCTTCAAATTATAGAATGTCTGTAGAACTTTACTCTCTAGAAGACATGTAAAAGGTCTTCTGTCTATAGAAGACCTGTAGAAGGTCTTCTGTCTATAAAAGACCTGTAGAAAGTATTCTGTCTGCATTCAAGTCTGCTTTTTGAAGGCCTCATGAAGTCCTTTAGAATGTCTTCTGCTTATAGAATATCTGTTGAAGAATTTTTGACTTTAGACGACCTGAAGAAGTCCTTCTGATTATAGAATATCTGATATTCTGTCTATAAAAGTCCGGTTGGGGGTCCTTCGTCTGTAGAAGGCCTGGAGAAGGTCTTCTGATTTTAAAGGACCTGAAGGCTTGCTCTCTTTTCTTTTAGAGGTCGTCTGTTCATAGAAAGCCTGTTGATTTTCTTCTGCTTATAGAAGACCTGAAGTAGGTCTGTGTATAGAAAACCTGAAGAAGTTTTTCTGTTTATATAAGAACTTTTTTCTATAGGAGGCTTATAAAAATCCTATGGCAGGTCTTATAACAAAAAAAAATTGAGAGAGGTATTCTGTTTATAGACCTGTATAATGTCTTCTGTCTTTAGAATGGTGTACTGAATATATATAGAAAGTGTTTTGTGTTTAGAATGGTGTGAGATCTTCTGCCTATAAAAGAAGTTTAGCAAATCTTCCTGATGTCTGTCCGTGATAGACCTATAGAAGGTATTTTTTCCATTAAGATCTGTGGACCATTGTTGGTATATGTAAGATCTTTTGAAGATTTTATTCCTAATGAATAACTCTCACGGGTCTTATATCTATAACAACCCTCTTGTATACATCTTGTCTCGTGCTAAGTCTTCTGTTTATATATTCGCTTTTCTTATTACCTTTTGTGCCGTACGAGCCATTAATTCCTGCTTCAATTGAGCAACACTTTGGCGATCCAAACGGAAACCAGCCGATGATCGCTGTTGAACAGCTTGGGAATTCTAAGATAATAAATAATTACATATTAATATCTCCAAATCTCTTTCGAACACCCGCAATCCCAATTTTCACACTTACCTTGCGTTGGGCATTCTCCTTATTGTTAGCCGACTTTCTATCCTTCTTTGTCTTCTTCACATCATCGAGATCAAATTCAATATAGCTTTCAGCTGTATCTTGAACCGATCGAATACTATGATACACCGACATGCTAAAAACAATAAAATAGAATAGGTTAGTATTACCCCATGTCAAATATTTGGAATTCTTTGTCGAATAACATTTTCATCATCTACACCATCATGTTATTTCACCCACCTTGGATGCTCAATCAATAGGTTCTCATAGGGTGAAGTTTCCATATTGATGGGTCCAATGGAGGTGAAACATGGTGGTGGTGTTACGAACCATGATTCGTCCATAGCCTTGGCATTTCCAATTCCACTCGCTGGCATGGCGGCCACCTTCACATTCTCCTGTTGGATAGCATTGGCGGCTGGCGGGACATACAGCGAACGGCTAATGCCGCCGGCATCAGCTGCCATCCCGGTATTTTTGCCATTGCGGCTTTCGTTTACTGTGCGGGAAGGGCTTAATGTTGATACGCTTAGACCGCTTGTGCGGGTATTAACGTTGTTGGAGCGGGATTTTTGCAAATGATTGCGTTGTTTTTGTGGTCTTGGTCCACTATAGAGGGAATGCGAATTGATATGTTGTTGGCGGCGCTGTTGGGCCAATGGACTGGGCGCTATGGTAGGTTGTTTGACCGATTTGACGACCTCAAGGGTTGGTTCACTTGTTTCCTTCTCGTTGTCGTTACGAGATTGGGAGACGTCCTCGTCGTCTGGAATTAGAAAATTAGAAGAAATGGTTAACAGTTTGAAATAAAAAAATATGTGTAAATGAGGTATAGAAAATTCCTATCTTTTGAAGTCCAATGGGAGATCTACTATATATGACAGACTTCTTATTATATATTATTATAACTTATGGATGACCTCTCGAAGATTTGTATGAATACCTTTTCTATTCCTTGAAGGTATTCAATCTAGAAGAACATATCGGGAGCTTTTATGTATTAAATATCTCTAGAATATAATAGAAATACTTTTCTGTCTATAGAATACCTCTTCTGCGTACTGAGAACCTTCTCCAATTTTTTGAGAAGGTCAGAGAAGGTCTTCTATAAATAGAAAATATCTTATATATATATATAAAGAAGACCTCTTCTTCTGTACAAAGGAGACCCCTTCTATCTATAGGAAACCTCTTCTATCTAAAGCAGACCTCTTCTATGTATAGAAGACCACTCCTATGTATAGAAGACCACTTCTATGTATTGAAGACCACTTCTATGTATAGAAGACCACTTCTATGTATAGAAGACCACTTCTATGTATAGAAGACCACTTCTATGTATAGAAGATCACTTCTATGTTTAGAAGACCACTTCTATGTTTAGAAGACCACTTCTATGCATAGAAGACCACTTCTATGCATAGAAGTCCTATTTTATGTATAGAAGTCCTCTTCTATGTATAGAAGACCACTTCTATGTATAGAAGACCTCTTCTATGTATAGAAGACCTCTTCTATACAATGAATATTTCTCCTATATATAGAAGTTATATTCTATATACAGAAGAACTCTTCTATATGCCGAAGACTTCTTCTATATACCGAAAGCCACTTCCAGATACAGAAGACCTATTCTATATACAGATATATATACCTCTTCTATACCGATGACCTCTTCTATATACCGAATACCACTTTTATATACCAAAGACCACTTATTTATAAGGACGTCTTCTTCTACCTACAGAGGGGGACCTCTTCTACCCTTTAATTTTTTATTTTTGTTTTTTTTCCACAGAAGAACTCTTCTATATGCCGAAGACTTCTTCTATATACCGAAAGCCACTTCTAGATACAGAAGAGCTATTCTATATACAGATGACCTCTTCTATACCGATGACCTCTTCTATATACCGAATACCACTTTTATATACCAAAGACCACTTCTTCATAAGGACGTCTTTTTCTACATACAGAAGGGGACCTCTTCTACCCTTTAATTTTTTATTTTTGTATTTTTTCCACAACTCACCTTCCTTTTCAACAATGAACCACTCGTCTTCGTCGAAATCTTCGTCACAACTATCGCTAGGCGATCCTGATGATTTTGTCAATGACTTTGTACTATCCGTCGATTTTGTGCTATTACTTCTAACTCCGCCTCCACCTTTACGCTTGTTCTGCTGACGGGTATTGTTACGTTTATTTTTGCCACGGCGTATGGCACGTGTATTATTGGTGACGCTACCACCGATTGCCGCTGCTCCCGTTACCGATGGCGTTAATGAAGTTACTTCTATGAGATTATCAACATCGACTTTGGTAACGTTCTCTTTAGTATCAACTTCGTTTGCAGTGGTTGTTGTGGTTTCACTCGGATTCGGATTAGTTGTAGTAGTATTCGAACCAAATAGATACGATGCAATACTACTCAACATTATACGAGCGAAGCGGGTAGGGCGAATGCGAGCTTTATAAAGCCTAGAAGAGCTCTAAACGTGTTTGGTTTAGCTTTTGCAAGAGGGCGGCTTATTATCACTGCTGTGTGTAGGAAGTTCCTTAAAGCTTTCGAAATAAATATTGCTTTTTGTTGAGACCAGTTTAGAAATTTCCTTCAGAAGGTGAGATTGCTTTGTAACTTCTTTTTGTTTTGCTATACAATATTTATGTCAGTCTTTTGAACTTTATGTTTCCTTGTAGCTCATCAACTGTAAATAAAAAGAGAAGACAAATAATAAATATCATGAAAAGAAAATAATATTAAAAATATATGTATTTTTGAAAAAAAAAATTGTTGTGCGCAGCAAATTGTGTAATTCGTGTGTTCTTGTATTTCGATATACAAATATTACATCACAAAATATGCCATAAATAATAATCCGTTTTTTGTTTGGCATGTCATTCAAATTCTACCTCAAACATGAGAGGCTGTCATCGTGTTATACACATGAACGTAGGCATAGTGATGTGCAGGGGTCTTAAATGTATGTATGTAATAAGGCATAACCCAGCAAAATTATTTTTTTATTTTTTAATATTTAGAATAAAAATTAACATTCATACGATATGTCATAGCGCATTCCAATTAAACTATTTTTTGTGCCTCAATGCATTTCTACAACCGATACGTGATGTGCACTCGGTTATGAAAAGTATGACTATTGGAATTTATTCCTTTTTTTGCTGGGATTACTACCTTTCCTACAGTTCTTTATTTTATTCCAACATCACGTGTGTGTGTCGGTTTGGTTGTTTTTTTTTTAATAATTTGCTTTGTGACTGTTGGAATCTCTGACGCTTTTATTTGCATATTTTGTTTCGTAATGTTTGTATGGGCACACATTTTGGCGTCACACAGTCTAGTTCGAATTTATTTATTTTTTCCAAAGACATTGTGTCACATATTTTTGAAACATATCATTACTAATAATTACCAGCATCGTGAAGTAATTAAAAATTTTAAAGGGGTCAATATTTCACATGAATATATATTAATGAGAGAAATAGGGAAGGTGAACTTTGGATTGTTACCGTCAAAGGGTTGGTGCCTATGCAAAGCCTACCAAAGTAGTTATAAAAATATTTTGTATAAAAAGTCCTGAGGACTTGTACTGAAGGCCTTCAATAGCTAATAAATAAAACATTTATTTATCTATTGAAGGCTTGATATCTATGCCAACCTACCAAAACTGCTCTAGAATATATTTTATATTTTCAGAAGCCCTGAAGAGAAGGTGGAGATTTTTAAAAATATTTTTTTCGAAGTAACAGCCAGATCTAGATTTAAAAAAATATATTTTTTCGAAGTAACAGCAATGCTTTGATTTTCAAAAATATTACTTTTTTATATCAAGACGTCGATTTTTAAAAATATATTTTTTGAAAAGTAACGACAAATATTTTTAAAAAAATATTTTTTGCAAGTAAAATATTTTTCCAATTAACAGCTTGGCGTTGGTTTTTATAAAATATATTTTTTTAAAACCAAATATTTATTATTGGGGAATGTATGGCATTGTCCGCCGAGTAGTAAGGCAGGGAAGACTATAGTTTCGGATCTCACCACTGATCCGCATCAGTTCCCTTAGTTTTTTGTTGGGATATTCTCCCCAGAAGCTATTTATTGTTTCTTTCCAAAAAAAAAAAAAAAACGTTCATTCCCAAATGTCTCCTGTGACAAATCGAAGTTCTTACGTTACCAGCGATACGACCTCAATGAGAAGTTCGTTTCGTAGGTGGCTGACATTTACAGACAACTACAATACATTTCCCAGTTCCCAAATAAGCTGCCAACACTACTGAAAATCTATTTTTCCAAGTTACTGCAAGGCGTAGATTAAAAAAAAATAATTTTTTGTAAATCAGTCCTGGTGGTTAAAGTTTTAAAATTGTTGAAATATATTGCTACTACCCCAGTTTCTTTGGTATCAGAAATGGGATTCATCAATTCCCGTTTTTGTATAGTCCCATATTTCGGTATTTTGGGCAATGTTTCTAACCAAAATGACTGTAATTTACTATTTTGTATTCTTAATTGGATTGTATTATGGTCGAGGCCAATTTTCCAACCTTAGAGTCACCTGCAATTTTATATTTCGTTTTCTCCTGGTAACAAACATATCAAAATAGTGTGGAGGGTATATCAATTTTGTCATTCCGTTTGTAACTCATCGAAATATTCATTTCCGATCCTATAAAGTATATATATATATTCTTGATCAGGGTAAAATTCTAAGACGATCTAGCCATGAACGTCCGTCCGTCTGTTGTAATCACGCTATCTTCTGAAGAAATTGAGATAGGCTGCTGAAATTTTGCATAGTGTTGTCTGCAGGCAGGTCAAGTTCGAAGGTGGAATATATCGGTCCATCGGTCCCATATAACAGTACCTCCCAATTTTCGATATTTTGGGTTTCTTGAGCGCGTTTTTCAACCGAATACGTTGAAATTTGGTACATTGAGTTCATATTGGGTACTACATGTCTCCACAAAAAATTATAAATATAGGCCCACTTTTTCTGGTTGCCCCCATATAACGGTACCTCCTAATTTTCAGTATTTTGGGGGTTTTGATCGTATTTTTCCACCGAATTGGCTGTAATTTAATATTTTGAGTTCTTAAGAGGCACTAAATGTCTCCACAAAAAATTATGATTATAGGTCAGTTTTTACGGGAATCCCCCATTAAGGGTACCCCCAATTTTCGGTATTTTGGGGTTTTTGAGCGCGTTTTTCAACCGAATTCGCTGCAATTTGGTATTTTGTAGTCGTATATGGTAATAAATCTTCCTACCAAAAATGTTTAATATTCGCCCTCTTTTTGGCGTAGTCCCCATATAAACCCCTTTTTATACCCTTCACCACAGTGTGGTACAGGGTATTATGTCTTTGTGCATATGTATGTAACAGGCAAAAGGAAACGAGATAGACCCATGTTTACTTTTGAGAATATGCATAGAATCACTTTCTGTCCGTCCGTCCGTCTGTTTGTCCATGTTAAATCGTAAAAAAAGTGCGGGTCGCATTTATTATACGAATTGGATGAAATTTGGCACAGCTCATTTATTTGGGCCAGGGACGAACCCTATTGAAATTAGGAAGAATCGGTTTAGATTTACATATATCTCCCATATATATTTTTGTCCGACTTTTAGCAAATGGGGCACTAACGAGTCAAATTTAGACCGATTGACATAAAATTTTGCAAAACCTATTGAACTTCGGATAGCCTAAAGTGTTCCAAGTTTTATTGAAATCGGTTCAAATTTAGTATAGGTCCCGTATATAAATTCGTCCGATTTTTAGCAAATTGTGCACCAAAGAATTAAAGGGTGCACTAAATAATTAACTGATGATTGTGGGTGAACTTGAGATTTTATCTCTCTATATACAGTGCTCGGTTCACATATAGACACAGATCATATATGTAAAGTAGTCCATTTTCAAAAATGCAAGATCTCTTGAATATAGCCAAAGTGGTAAAGGGTATCATATAGACGGCCCCGTCCGACTTTACTACTTTCCTTACTGGTTTACATATAAAGCGATCATAAACGATTTTCCTGGAGCAGTGTTCGGAAATTAGTTTCTTCTTAAAATATATTTTCTATTCAAAAATAGTCCGTCCGTCCGTCTGTTGTAATCACGCTATCTTCTGATTTTTTAACCGAATAGGCTGTAATTCAGTATTTTGAGTCCTTAATAGGTACCAAATCTCCCCACAAAAAATTATGAATATATGTCCATTTTTTCGGATAGCCCCCATATAAGGGTACCCCCAATTTTCGGTATTTTGGGGTTCTTGAGCGCGATTTTTAACCGAATTTGCTGCAATTTGGTATTTTGTAGTTGTTTATAGTAACAAATCTCCCTACTAAAAATTATTAATATAACCATATAACCCCCTTTTTATATTAAAATAGTTATCTGATTTGTTCCGTGTGTTGCGGTCAGGTAGTCGTTACGGGGAATAGTCAATTTTTACCCTACAAACCTATTTAAGCATTCCGCCTTCTAAAGATATTGTGATAAAAAAACTCAAACATAACGATAATGAAATATATCGGCAGGCATTTAGGCATCTCCTCAATATAGTGATACCTCCTGAAGGAACGAATTGAGATAAACGATTAAAATATTGGGTTCAAAATTGGCATGTACCGGTCATTGGTCAATATTGGTCCCCCTTTAGGCATACCCTCATATAACTTTATAATCTAAATTACAGTAGTTTAAGGATTTTATACTCTACCATGCGTTATCATTATCAGTCCACTTTTTGGATCTTACAGATTTTAGGAAAAATCCCCATTAAAAATTGCTGAAGTTTGTATTTGGTGTAGAATTATCGGTATATCGGTATATCCCCACTCTTTGGTGTGTTCCCTATATTTTCATTGCATGTATCTGTTAGTATAACTATGGTGGAGGGTATACAAAGTTCGGCCCGGCCGAACTTAACGCTTTTTCACTTGTTTATATTTAAATAGTTATCTGATTTGTTCCGCGTTTTAGGTTTGGTGCTAAGACTCTGTTGTAATCATTTCACCTGCGGAGGATATCGAGATAAAAACTAGAACGTAAGGTTCGATAATGAACTATAGCCGCAGGTTCCAGAAGGAGTGGACCGATATTCCCCATGTTCGAATTTGAACTAGGTTTGGAAGAAATAATAATATGGTCAAAGTTTGGATGAAATCTAATTTTTCTGAAACGAATTTGGTCCAAAGGAACATGGCGTCTAAAGTGTATACACCCTCATTAGCCATAAGGCTGAGGGTATAATTATCCATTAAAAATTTCTGAAATTTGTTTTATGGTTTACATAATCCGTTTTTAGAAATGTCGGTATAGGTCCACTTTTTGGTATGTTCCCTATATTTTCATTTCTAGTACCTGTCAGTATATCTATTATATCTTTCACTTGTTTTCTGTTTGT